TATAGCATGGAAAGATAGTTTATGTGTGACTGGGGTTCCCAAGCAGGCAGAGAGAGCTGGTTGACTGACTTGGTACTTCCTACCTCAGCTGTTCATGTTCCCTTCCTCAGGTGTATAAAACACATAGGCTTTCTTTTATTTGTCTGTTGTTTGGACAGGGTCTTGGGAGGTTCGGGCAGGCCTAGAACTTGGTAAATAGCTGAGGATGACCTGAGCTGATGATCCTGTGTCCATCTTCCAGTGCTGGGATTACAAGGTAGTCCTGCACCCCTAACATGGCTTGCCTTGCTTTTTCTGGATTTCTTGTTCTGTGCTTATTGATTTGGAGTAAGTGTGACACAGTACTTACATATCTGCGTGCATGGGCACACACAGTCTAACAGGGTGTTTGTGGTGAGGATGATCCTAGTGTTATCGTCAGTGCTGACTGGGGTGGGAATCGACTGGGGACCATTACATAAGTACTTTACTTCTGCTAGAAGGTACAGTCTCTGAGGGCTTTCAGAGTTTAGAAAGTTTCCACCATATCATGTTTAAATGGCATGAGAAAGGCGCTTCAAGTGGGACTGCTCACCTGGGGTCATAAACATCACTGGAGCAGGTCTTATGGAATCTGTAGGAAGAAGTGTCATCTCCGGATATAACAAAAGAAGAAAAGCAAATGGCTGACACAGACTTGAAAAGAAATTGAATTTCAACCTTCTTAGCCATCTGGGAAATGCAAATTACAATTGTTTTGAGGTTCTTTCTCACCTCAGGCAGAATGACTAGCATCAAGGAAACACTGGCAGAGAGATCTCTGTGAGCCAGCCTGATCTATAAAGTGACTAGGGCTATAAAGTGAGACTTGTGTCAAACAACAACAACAACAACAAACAAACAAACAAAGAAAAAAACAAAACCAAAACAAAACAAAAAACCCAAACCATGCCATCAAAGGCAGGTGAGCCAGGGAGAATTTAGACTGGAGAAGTCATTATGGAAGTCAGAGTGTAGATTTCCCAAAAAGCTAAAAATAGAGAAGTAACATATGTTCCAGCTAAACCTCTCCTGGGGATAGATCTGAAAGATTCTCTGTCAACAGGCCACAGTGACGCTTGCACATCTGTGCCATAACAGCCAAGAGCAAACCAACCTAGATGTCCACCAATAGTGGATAAAGAGACTCTGATACCAGTTTTGGAGAGATGGGTGGATGGTTCAGTTAAGGGTACTTGTTATGAGCCGGGCGGTGGTGGTGCACGCCTTTAATCCCAGCACTTGGGAGGCAGAGGCAGGCGGATTTCTGAGTTTGAGTCCAGTCTGGTCTACAGAGTGAGTTCCAGGACAGCCAGGGCTACACAGAGAAACCCTGTCTCGAAAAACCGAAAAAAGAATAAAAAAGAAAAAAGAAAAAAAGGGGTACTTGTTATGGCTGCAAAGGACCCAGGTTCAATTCCCTGCACACATGATGGCTCACAACCATTTATATATAACTCCAGTTCCAGGGGACCACATGCCCTCTCATGGCATATATACACACATGCAGGCAAACATGTATAATAAAGCTAAAGAAGAAAATGTTGTACATGCACAGAATGGAATTTTATGTAGCCATAAAGAAAATGAAATCGTGACATTTGTAGTAAAATGGATGCAACTGGAGATTATTAGGTTAAAAGAAATAAGCCTGACTCCAGGAAGATAAATACCACATGTGTTCCCTCATGTGCAGAACCTTGAATTAAAATTGTGGTGTGTGTGCGTGTGCCAGTGTGTGTGTGTGTGTCCCTGTGTGTGTGTGCTCTCGTGTGTATGTATGTGTGTGTTTAGGTTATGAAGCCAGCAGGAGAGTTGAGGAAGAGGTTGCAAGGGAGGTGAGAGATAAGATATTGGAATACAAATAAGAAGGCAGAAAGGGGCCTATCTGGGGAAAGGAAAGAAACCAGCTTGGGGTGAGGGGAGTAACTTGAGGAAAGGGAAACAGCCGATAACAAGATATAAGGACATCTATGGTATCTACGTAAGGATACTATAATGAAACCCATCACTTTGTATGCTAATTTAAAAATTAATTTAGAAACAAAACAAAACAAATCCCAAAACAACCTTCCTCCTTTGCTCCTCATAATTGGTCCTGTATGTAAACTGTTTCTTAGCCCGTATTCCCAGAGAAGCGAAGTAACGAGACCGGTCACAGAGCCAAAGTCTGCTCAGGGTGTGCAGTGGGTGGGCATGCTCTTTCCCAACCGTTGAGCTGGAAGCGCTCCAGGCCACGCTCCTAAGGAACTTGACTCTTCTTCCAGATGAGTGTGTCTCTGTTTCTACTGAAAGCTTTAAGACACGCTCTGAGGCTTGGCCTCACCAAACACAAGCACGCTGCAGTAGTGCAAACAGACAGACTAGCCGAAATACGGCTGTTTCCGGCGCCAGCTCTGTTCGGGGTACATCATAAGGGATGGAAATCCCACATTGTGAGAAAGATGTAAGGAAGCAGACACGGCACTTTAGAAATCTGGCTCCCTTATGCGATAATGAACTTCTTCAGAGGGTACATTTGGTTTCGCTGCTAAATATAATAGGAGATTGACAGCAGTTGCAAAACGGCCCACATCAAGTGTGTTTCCAATATTGAGAAACCATCCGAGAGGAATGATACTTGCGGTCACTGCAAATATGCATGAAGATAGGCATGCAGTTTCTCTTTCTCTTTCCCTCTTTCTCTCTCTGAGTCTGTGTCGTTGCCCCCCCTCCCCCACACCTCCTTCTCCCTCTTTCTCCCTCTCCTTCTTTCTCCCTCTCCCTCTCTGAGGGGAGGCAGGGTCTCAGGTAGCTTGGGTTGGTCTCAGACTCACTATAGAGCTGAGAATAACCAGGAACTGTTGATCTTCCTGCCTTCCTTCCTCCTTCATGCTGAGATCACCACCATGTTCAGTTTATATAGTTCTGGGGAATTGAACTTTGCATTTGTTAGGCAAACAGTCTGTCAGCTGAGACACATTCCAGCCACAGTTGTCTCTTGATGTTAGTGACCCTCATGGTCAGTATCTGTCTTGGGTGGCTCTCCAATTTTCTCATCGGGAAGGAAAAGGATGACTGCTACCCCTTACTACCAGATACGAAGGGCTCCATGGCTTGAGGGGCAGCAAGCCTGGCTGGGATTCTCCTCTCAGGATTGAGCAATTTTTCTAGATAATATCTTTGGCTTTGCATTCCACATGGTCTCTGCTGCATGGAAGTGACCCTAAGCAAATGAGGAGGTGTTGATGTGGCTGGGTTCTTACCATGTTTTATTGGTGGGGCAGATTTGGCTTTAGTATGCCAACCCTGCTTTTGAACTTTTTCTATAATGAAACACCACAACCACATGAATGGATCCACATTCAAAGACATTCTTTGTATACATGTGACTTCTAGACACAGTTTGGATCTATAGAGCAACTTCCTTTGAAGAAAAATATTTCTTTTATGTGCATGTGTGTGTGGATACATGTGTGCCGTGTATATGCAGGAGCCCACAGAGGTCAGGAGAGGCATCAGTTCCTCTGGATCTGGAGTTACAGACAATTAGGAACCTCTACGTGGGTGCTGAGAATTGGACCCGGGTTCTCTGCAAGAGTGGTCAAAACTTTTAACCATGGAGCCATCCCCCCAGCCTTTAGAACTGAAGGATGAGGAGAGTGAGAGAGGGAGCCCATCACCAAAGGCTGAAGTCAGTAGAAAGTAAGTAGTGTGGTACTGTCCAGGGAGCTTCCCTGAAGGAAGCAGCCCTAGCCCACTGACTTTCTATGCATCCTTGACTTCTTAATAGTCTGTTGGGGCTGGGAGAATGACCAAGGTGAGGTTGAGGTTTTAAACATATATTTTTATTACTTTAAGTGTGTGTCTGTGTCTGTCTGTCTGTTGGTATGTGCACATAAGTGCAAGTGCCTGTAGCGGTCAGAGGTGTCAGAACTCTGAAGCTAGAGTTACCGGTGGTTGAGAACTACCGGATGTGGTATAAGACGCAAAGGCAGGCTAAGCCATCTTCCAGCTCACAAGACATTTTATACTGAAGTATATTATCCTTCTGCTCTCAAATAAGTTGGAAACATTTTCCTTATTTTTCATTATCTTCTGTTATTTTGACAACTTGATAAATTAAATTTGACTTAAGCTATAATAGGTTTTTTTTGCCTCAAGTATTTATTTATTCAGTTTCAGAAAAATTAAATTTACTGTATTTATTTGTGGCTTTTAGATCTTTTAAAATTAAAAGTCTTCTTCATTTTAAGGTCATAAAGAAATTTCGCGCTGGGAAGTGGTGGCGCATGCCTTTAATCCCAGCACTTGGGAGGCAGAGGCAGGTAGATTTCTGAGTTCGAGGTCAGCCTGGTCTACAGAGTGAGTTCCAGGACAGCCAGGGCTACACAGAGAAACTCTGTCTCGAAAAACAAAACAAAACAAAACAAAACAAAACAAAACAAAACAAAACAAAAAAAACAAGAAAAAAAAGAATTTTTTTCGAGACAGGGTTTCTCTGTGTAGCCTTGTCCATTCTTTTCTCTGCTTCTTTATTATTATTTTGTTCTATAGTTCCAGATCTAACCCTCTAGAGTCCACCCTGAGATACAAAGTGAGATATGGCTCTAACTGTAATTTATCCTCATTAGTCACATATTCCATATTCATAAGTTTAAATTTTACTTGTGCCTTCTGTATGGTGTGCGTGCATGCTTACATGTTTGCCTGTGTGTGTATGCAAGTGTGAGTACACAAATGCATATTTATCTGTGCGTGCTTAAGCCCAAGACTGACACTGAGTCATCCTCAATCCTTAGCTGGGTGGGGTGCTCACCTTTAATTCCAGCACCTGGGAGGCAGAGGCAATTGGATCTTTGTGAGTTCAAAGCCAGCCTGGTCTACAGATGGAATTCTAGGACAGCCAGAGCTACACAGAAAACCATATTTTGAAGAACAAAAATAAATAAATAATAAATGCATGAACAAACAAATGAATAAAATTAAGAGAGTCTTTCTCACCTGCCCCTAGAACCATTGCAGGTATGGCTTCTGTTGTCACATGTGTGTCAGTAGGTAGCAGAGAGGAGAGGTTATGTCTATGCTCAGTGTTCTGATCTATGAACATCTGAATAATCAGTAGCCTAATATTCCCTGAAAAAGCCTGAGATGACCACTAGTCCAGTGCCAGGCAGGCCCCTAACAGATTCCCAGGATGGGGAACAAGCTGGAAACTGGAGAAGAGAGGAACACTGGGATTGTAAGCTTAGATTTTTCAAAACTTACTTTAGTAAGGGTTCTCAAATGCTTCAACCCTCCTTCTAGCCCACAGTCAAAGGTAGGGGAGAAAAGGTGGGTACCAGGACAATGAGGATGTAGACCTGTTTAGAAGTAGTTTTTTAGGGTGATTCCAATCTCCATTGTTAGGATATCAGCAGTTCAGTTCAGAAGTGTCAGATGAGATAGCAGAAGCCTTGTATTGGCCACGGAGTCATTGCAATGGACATTTACAAGCAAAGGGGTATGGACAAAAGGGTGTACTGTGGGACACACGGCAGCTTCCACAATGAGTTTGGGGTTTTTTTTTTTTTTTTGTCTCTGTGGGAATAGAGGCTGCAAGAGTGGAAGGTGGGTACAAGGGGAAGGGGAAAGGAGTGTGATATGAAATTCACAAAGAACTGAGAGAGAGAGAGAGAGAGAGAGAGAGAGAGAGAGAGAGAGAGAGAGAGAAAGAGGGAGTCTTCCTCAATTACTTATGTTTTGTTCACTGAGGTAAGGTATTTCAATTGTATCCATGAATATAAGCTCATGAATATGACTAGTCTGGCTAGCCAGTTTACTCAGAGGATCTTCTCTCTGCTTTGCATGCACTGGGATTGCTGGGGACCTCCATGCCTGCTATTTGTGAGGGTGCTAGGGATCTGAACTTGGATCTGTACAGATGCTTTACCTGCTGAGCTACCTCCCCTAGCTCTAGTTGTTAAAATGTACTACCTCAGCTCTATACTAATGGCACTTGTACAGTCATTCTTGGTTGTTCACCAAGTGACTCAATTTACCTAATGCGTGCAAAAACCAAACCAACCAACCAAACAAACAAAAAACCAGTAAGAATTCAGGGCCTGAGAGGACAGCTTCAAAGAAAGTGTTTTCTGGACATGACATGGCAGTTGGATACAAAAACTCATAGCAGCTGTGTTGCCTGCACAGGATTGAGCCAGTCGACATCCCAGCATACGAGGCCAGCCTCTGCCTCCTTGTTTTAGCCTTAGGACCATGAAACAAGTGTCTAGTTAGTACCACCACATCGTACTGTTTGTTGGTGCCCAGGCACAGCACTGGAACATTGTAATTTTCCCAGCCTTTAAGAAGTCATAATAAGCACCTTACAGAAAAACACCCTAGGTAGTCAGTTGCTCTAGTTTGCCTTCTATTGCTGTGATAAACACTGTAAACAAAAGCAACTTGGGGAAGAAAGAGTGTATATTAGCTTACAAATTATAGTCATCATGGAGGGAAGCCAAGGCAGGAACTAAAGGTAGACTCTTGATGCAGAAACTTAACAGAAACCACGGAGAAACTCTGCTTACTGGCTTACTCCTCGGATCATATTCAGCTACCTTTCTTATACAACCCAGGCTCACCTGCCTAGGGATGGTACCATCCCCAGTGGGATGGGCCCTTTCCTATTAATTAATAATCAAGAAACTGTTCCACAGACATGCCCAAAGGCCAGTCTCATGGAGGCAATTCTTCAACTGAGGTTCCTTCTTCCCAGGTGGGTCAAGTTGACAGCCATGATTAGCCATCGCAGTAGGCTTTGTTCAGATGTGAGTCACAGTGCTGCTGGCCCTCAGTTTAATGTCAATCAACTAACAGTGTATGGTAACTAAGGTACCTTTCAGCTGAAACTGACATCAAAGAGCTTTGCATCAGCAGCAGCACACTGCACTACAGAGTTCTGTATTTGAGAACCATCACTATTATAATCCCCTCTCCCATTCCCTATATAGCCCTATAGTGAACATCTGTGAGACTGTAGCAGTAACTGGGGCTGGTGAGATGGTTCAGCAGTAAAGAACACTTAATGTTCTTACAGAGGTCATGATTTTGGTTTCCAGCACCCACACATAACTGTATATAGCTAAAGTTCCATGGGATCTGATGCCATCTTCTGGCCTCTTCAGGCACTGCACCCACATCACACACACACACACACACACACACACACACACCCCTGTTCGTGCAGGCAAACATACACATGCATAAAAATAAGTACACCTTTATAAAAAAGGAAAAGTAGTCATGATAGCTGTTACATTATCACAAAAGGGATTTGTAATGTTTGCACACACAAAAAGGAGAAAGAAAGAAAGAAAGAAAGAAAGAAAGAAAGAAAGAAAGAAAGGAAGGAAGGAAAGAAGAAAGAAAGAAAGAAAGAAAGA